AGGTATTTTTCGCATAGGCCAGTAGTTGCTGTGGCGTCCTCTTGGAGGCATCTTGCAGTGATGCCAGCACTGGCGCACCCAGGTACTTCCTCCTTGCCCTTAAGAGAGCAGGACAGTTGCAGATGAGATGTTCCAGCGTTTCGGTTGCCCCAGGTTCGTCACATTTCCTACAACTGTCTCTGTTTGTAATGCCTAGCTTTGTTGCATGCGCCGCAGCCAGGCAATGGCCCGTTAATATTCCCACTAATAATCTGCGGTCCTTCCGTGGTAGGTGCAGCAGGTAGTGGCTAAGTTTATCATTGCGGTCCTTGCACATGATTCTCGAGGTTCTGCAGGCGGTGGTACTCCTCCACCTACTTTCGGTTTGTGATCCGGCCTGCTTTTCTAGATCGCTTTGCAGCGTTCTAAGGGAGACAGGCACGTTCTCGGTTCTCGTATTCGCCAGCCCGACGCCTTCCTTAGCTAGTACGTCCGCCGACTCGTTTCCTTCGATGCCATGGTGGCTGGGAATCCAGTAGATCCGCACTGACTTTGTCGTGCTTAGGGTATCTAGTGCCTCCCTGCTCTCCAAGACATTTCTTGAACTGACTGCGGACGACTGCATGGATCTTATCGCCGCTTGGCTGTCGACGAATAGACTATAACCTTCGAAGAATGTTTAAAGTCGCTCTTAAACTGAATGTACTTGTGATCTGAGAAGAGAATCTGGAGAGTCTTTCATGGCTCACCTCTATCATTGATGTCGGTGCTTCCCCACACATTGTGGTGGACATTGGCGTCCGTCCCGATGACGAGTTGATAGTTTTTGGTGCCGGCTCCTGTCACCAGGCTCCTGAGTTCGTCGGGTGGTGCGGGTCTGTCGTGAGCCATGTAGCAGGAAGCCACCAGAAGGCGCTTTTCCTAACTTTCCAGCATCACAACCTTCAGGTCATCCGTTCTGTAATGAGACATAAGGTAAGCATGGATTCCCTTTCGTACGAGTACGACGGTTCTGTTCCTGCTTACCGATGTTGTGTAGAACAGGTTGTGATTTGAGGACTTTAGTCCGGCCACTGAATTGCCTGTCGCAATCCAGGGCTCCTGGACTAGAGCTATGTCGGCGAGCCCTTGCTCCATGGCGATGAGGAGCTCCGCCGACGCTACCTTGCTTTTATGCAAGTTGAGCTGGTGTGCAGCACACACTCAGCATGGGTGGCTGACTCACTTGCATCCGACGGGTTGACTACTGGCGTCAGTCGCCGTCTTCCTCGTCTTCGTCCTCAAGCGCAAGACCCTGGGCGGCCTCTACGATGGACTCGAGACCTAAGTCCTTTTCCACCTCGCCTACCTGCAGGGTATGCGCGTCCTTGTCCTCAGGGTGGCGCTTTTTGAGGCGCAAGTAGACGCTACCCATGCCCCACGCCATCTTCCCGAACTTGGGATACAGCAGATCCTCTGCCTCCTTGTTTTTTTGGAGGATCACACACTGGCCCCCTTCATTGGGTAGTGGGCTACCAATGTGTAGGATCCTCTAATCGGTCGTTGGCACGTCCGCGTTTTGCCACTGAAGGAGCTTCAGCGCTCGGTCCCCCTGGATTGTAATGGGGTAGAGTACCTTCGCCTTAGGCTTGGAGGGGATAAGCTCCCGGTCCACAACCTCCAGATTGGCCCTCTCCCACATCGCCGCCAGTTGGCAGACCGTACGCGTCAGCCACCTTAGGGTTGGATCGTCGTTGCACTTTAGGATCTTACCCCATTTAGCCACCCAGCACCATCGAACGTGGGCATTGGGGCCGCGGGGTCTTCCTCCATGTGTGCAAACAGTGCGTCGACGAGACGCCCGTGCACCAGCTTCCACTGTGCCGCTGACATCTTGCCGTTTTCCTCGCTCCGGTCGATGAGTGCCACGATCAAATGTAGTTTGGTCACATCGCTGACCTTCGCTTTCGGTTTTGCTGGCTTCTTGGCCACTTTCGGTGGAGGGGCTGCACTCTTGGGCCCGCGTTGCCGCTTGCTCGCGGGAGTGTCTTTAATGGCACTCTCAGTCGAGCGTCGCCTCTTGGTGGCCATCATCTCCTCCACCTTATTGGCATATTCGCCATTCGACGCCCTCATCTGTGGCATCTGAGCGTAATGTAGCCGGCCCTCCTCTACTCGCTGCTCGGCCCAGGCTAGCTTGACCTTCTCCTCCTGGGAGATGTCTGCTTTACCTTGCAGCCGGCTTTTGATGTTGTTGGGCCGCTTTGTATTGTGCTTTGGCCCTCATTCCCTTCTTGGAACGCTTCGGCCCTTCCCTACGCAGGGAGCTGGTGCCTGGTTCCGGCGAGCGGAGAAGGCTCTCTTCCTCCGTCCTGCTTAGAGAGAGCACGCTCTCCAGATCCGTGTCTGTGTCGACTACGGCATCTGTGCGGCTCAACTTGCAGGCTGCGGAGTGAGTTGTTTTTCTTGTTGCTGTTGTTGTGGCAGTAGCTTTACAACTGACTTGGCCTGCTCCCGCCAAGTCTGAGGTGTGGCCGCTGGCCACACGCAGAGCGGACTGCTCCTGCCCGTGCCCGCCGGTGGAGCAGTCACGCTTCCCACCGACGTTTGGGTCCACACTGGTTAATATTTTTCGGAGGGACCAACCCCTAGCGTTTTAGGCCAGACCGCCAGGCACCTCTAGCCATGGCCCTGGTTCGGTTCCCCCGACTTTGAATCGGGAAGACGCCAGACCATAGCCTTTGCTAGACACTGCATTACCCCGGACAGAGCAAGCGACAGTGCATTACCCTTGTCCGGGGTAATGCAGTGTCCATTGCCCAGCCGGCACCCTCGTGGAGGGTTCAGCTAGACGATTTTCACAAAAAAAATTTGTACACTTTTGTTTGAGTTGTTTTTACGTTGGGCGTCAATTATTTAAATACACCAAAACACAACGCATATAATGTAATTAAGTATATTTATTGACTGCGTTTGGTTAACAATTCCTCAGAAGCGTTAGCTAGCTGAGTGATATTAAACGTTAGGGTTATTATTGTATTGTATTGTATCAAGTCGGTAGCGGTGGCTGACCGAATAAGATGAATGAGAATTAATTGATCAAGGGCGAGCGATACGCTGCGCTTTATTTAGATTCAAACTTAAGACTGATCATGAATGAAATTAAAAACTATGATTGCACCGGCTTAGCGGCCGGTGCTGCCGCGGCTCTGCCGGCACCACAGAACCGTCGCCGCTATTCCAGGAATTCCATCGTCGCTGACAGCTGTTCGGCACCCGTGGGAACTGCTGACTTGTGGGTGGTGTCGGATTGCTGCAGCTGCAGCCAACATTGTTGCGACATATACGCCGCGCCTGTGACTCTGGTCGTGGACCTCGCTAATGTGGTAGGTACGCAAAGGTCCAGTGTCGGTGGTTAACTTGTATAATTTTTCAATGAAACTGCTATGTTTGTTGTCAGTTGAAGTTTCTTCTCATAGCGCCATAGATTCGATGATTTTAGGCAAGCGTTTATTTTGTCGGTAGGCGTTGATCTTGGTGTTACTGGCAGAGTTTTGCGGAAATCGCCATAGCACCTCCAAAATATCTCGAGTCATTGCGTTGACCTTTCAATGATCGGTTAAGTGCTTCTAATGCATGTTTATGCGCCATTGTGCATTCGTCCCAGGTGATGATTTTCGATGCTAACAAAACTTTAGCATTGCGGAGTTTTTTGCAATATTACATATAGGTTCTTCAATATTTGAAAAATTGAATGGTAATTCTGATGCTGAATGAGCCGTACGGCATTCTTCTAACAATGTGGCTGCTATTCCAGAAGAATAAACTGACACCGCAGTATTAGATCTCGCACGAACAGTGGCTAAAACCATTGAAATCAGGAATGTCTTACCAGTTCCACCAGGGGCATCCAGGAAATATAAACCACCATTTCCATCATCAATGGCATTCATTAATGTATCATAAACTTCCTTTTGTTGAGGATTTAACAGGGGTACATTTGTTTGAACTGCTAAATTAAATTCCTGGTGATCATATTCACGTTCTCCTTCCAATTATCGAGTAAATGCGTCCATTATTGCAGGATTTGGCGCTGGCATTCCTAACATGTCTTCGATCAATAATAACGCTTGATTATGTATCTCCTCATTCATTTCAGGATCAGGATTTCTGGAAGTTGCACGATTTTGATGTAAAATATCTTCTGACATATTATCATTGTATTTGTGCCATAGGTTAGATGGGTTCGATGGAGAGCATGTAGTGGGGCAATTTGTTGTTCTTCTTCAGTAGTTTCACTAGTTATTTTTCTTATAATTCTTATATTATGGCTTTTTAAAGATGCATTAAAAAGAATACAAATTACTTGCACAATTAAAAAAAATTGCAAACAAAAAAAAACATTTATGTTTATTAAACTAAAACTTAACAAAATTAAAATAATGATATCATGTGTTGAAAAACACAGCCAGGCGGTGTCTGTGACATACAGTCTACTGGCTGACCGGGTCGAACGGGATAACGAACGGTATTCTATAGTAGTCACAAATTTTCAGCTAAGTCGGTTCAGCCGTTCTTGAGTTATAAATGGTGTAACTAACACGAGTTTCTGTGTTAACTATATATATCTACCTTCTGAACAAGGAATTTAAAGAAACCCAGTCCAAACGTTCGGTGTAGCGTCACGTGTATATCTCTAATTTGTTCAAAGCTCTCTTTTTGCTTTCCTTTTCTTTATTATTATCTTTTATTAGAGGATTCCTCACCTCCATGAAGGAGAGCAGGACAATTTTGTATAAGTTCCAGGAGGGATGGCTATTATAGTACACACGTGCCACGACTCCCAACTGTTACGACTGGTTTAACTTTGATCACGGGATACTAGATTTTCAATATAACCATTAACTTGAATAAAAAAAGATAACTTTTGGGCTGCGCAGTCTCGTGTTTTTCTCTATAAAATTTATGTATTCTTTTACATGTACATACATTGGATCCTAACCCACACTACGAACGCAATCGATTGATATTGGGCGTCACAGAGAAGGGTATTTTAAAGAAACACGGCTATGGGCTGGTACACGGCGAGCAACTTAAAGACAAATGGGGAGACGATAACCAATCGGACAACCTTGAGCTGATTACCCAGGACGGGACACTGGCCTCAACGAGCGGGGGCGTGGCTGCCTCCGAAGTCGAACGTACGCTTAAGTCCCTCAACGGATACCATGAGGACATTTTGGAGGCTCTGCGCAATGCGGCCACACACCGAGGTACAGGAACCGGTAACACACCCGTTGGCAGTGGGAGTCTCAGCGAGGAAATGTTACGTAAAACGCTACAAGAATGTAGTAGCTCACAGTTAGGATACTCTGCTGAACCATACAAGCGCACTAGTGGATCTAAGTCCAGTTCCAGGGAAAATGTTTGTGAAAATACCGCTGTACACGCTATATTGCTTGACGGAAGCGGATCTGGCCTTGGTGGCCTAGGTCTGGGATCAAGCTTAGGTGCTGGGGGTGGATCAACTGTTATTGCTGGGGGTATGGGGCATGGCAGTTCGCTGCTGCATCACCATCGCTCGCAGCACCAATTGCATCAACCGCCCCCTTTAGCATTACAACAACAACAACCGGACGAGGACGACGCTCCCTCAACAGGACCCTTGCGTATACGTAACTTGGAGGATCTTATACGGCAGCTCGAGCACCACTCGTCACGACACATGAGTCCCAGCGGCTCCGAGGATATACGCATGTCGGAAACAGACGCTGATCGCCACTATAGATTAGATAGTTCCGCCGCTTGTAGTGAGTCCTCACAAGGGTTAGTGCCAATTATAATTAAACACATTAGTTTTTCCGAGTCTGACACCCGACCAACGCATTATCTGCATACTTTTATTAATTTTTGTATTCATAAGTATCCCGTCCCTAAATATACAGGCACTGATAAGCTTGAAAATAGTAAACTTCATACACTTTTTGATTCATTCTTAGATGTTTCTACATCTGACAGAATTGCTATTGAGCTTATAGAAATAGCCACTTAAAACATGCTTATCATTAATCACATTTGCCTAAACTCGTAATCTGATATTGTTACTGTTACATAAATTAAACCGTAGTGCAGGAGCTTGATTACCTAATGTAATGTATGGCTTTAGAACTATCCTAAATAAACACAATAACCTTATATGTTCGTACATACACATCATAATCGCATTAATACAAGAATATATGAATTCACAATGCAAGTGTAGGCAGCAACCTGACCTTATACCGTCAACAGCATATAAGCTGCTGCCGGTTGAGAATTCAGTGTCAAAAATGCAACTCAAGCCAAGGCAAATTTTTATTTGCATCTCTTGCAGGCTTCAGGCTGGAATACCTTGTGTGATAAAGGTTCGTTGCCCATGCGCAGCACGTCTACAATGACTCCAAATCTCATCTTGTGGGCTGACAGTCATGAGCCAGTGAATATTGAATAAACATCGTTTTATTATTTACATAATCACATGCACGTTTTTACATAAGCAAAATCAATTGGTTTCTATTTTGACGGACGCAATCTTGCAAAACTATAAGCTATAAGCTATAAACTCAGTTTTTTATCGATTTCGGCATCGGCTCATTTTCAGTTTCGTTGTTCTCCATTTCAGATACCATTATCTGATTTGACACTAACGCATTTGATTATTTGCTTGCCTCTACTTTATCCCTTTCCCTACAGCTCCAATCAGCAACTAGCACAAACTCAGAAAACCGCTACAATTCATTCGTCGTACAGCAGTCGCTGTCGTCCCCGTTCCGATGAGGAGTCGCGATTTGCTTACGGCAGTCGCTACCGACAGCCGACGCCAGCAGGCCGACATGCAGCGCATCAGTCACACTCGCCGCATACATTCGGACACCACACGCATCATTCTCACGCTCATGGACATGCCAACCATGGTCCCCATTCCTCACATCATTCATCGCATACTCATTTACACCAGGAAGATGATGGTATATATGAGACCGCCGACCAACGCAACGTTTCTGACGCTCGTCTTGATCCTCATGAGACACCAGACAGCGAAAGGTGAGTAAATATCTCTGTATGTCCATCCTTAGTCCTTTCTCACTAAACTCCTTTCCTCTTTCCCCAATCACCAATATTGAATTTAAATTCTATCCAGATTCATTATCCTCTGGTTTAATAATTATTTGTTTTTATTCCCGATTGTTTAAGAGCCGTCATCTTCATTTACATTTTTCGTCCACTGTTCTACTTAAACCATTGCATACGGTATTGCCGATTACACTATGTACAAAATTTAACTTTTTATTTACGCTTCGAACCAAACCGAATTTTTTTTATGCCTATGGGGTTTTCAAAATTTTTAATGAAATATGATTTTTTTTGTGTTGTGCTTTGTATTTTTTAATTCAAAAAAAAAATTATACTATTTTTAATGCTTTTTTCAAAGCTTACTTTTTTCATATATGTAGCTTCAGTATTTTACCGACTGCAAAATATTAAGCTGTCAAATTCAAAATTGTATTGTATTGTAAAATGTACATATATGTCCTCACGATTCCCAGATATGACTGCTTGTGTTGGTTTTTTTATGATGGCGTTGAAGAGAATATACTTGCCGGGTCAAGCAGCTTAAATATTGTAAATTGTTGCCAGTGGTGCGGCCCAAAGGAAATGTATTTTGTTGTTGGTCGTCATTTACAGTGCCCACTGTAAAGATCATTTGGTTACCGCAAATGCGGCCCCGAGCAGCTCTAACGCTCTTGGGCTATCCTACTCTCTGGATCGCGTCTAAGCTTGCTACCCACATATTTACATAAATTTTGAATTATACACAAGCTCTCAACTTTCATTAAATTCATAATTCGCAACAGCTATTAAGAACGATTTATAGCTTAACAACACTCTTTACTTTAGAATTCACACTCCAGTGTGATAATAGAACACAGAAAGTTTAAATTTTAATACGATATTTGATATATTTAATTTGAATGGAAGCGAAATCAGTTAACGTTTTGTCAACACGCACACAGTCAACAAGCTGACCGTGGGAATCTCATACACTTCCAACAATTGCACTTGCGAATTGTTGATCGCCATCGCAAAATCCTATCGAACGGGGAACTAAATCCTCTTAAATTAGAATGGAATAATCGGAATTTGTGGGATAGGAACTGCACCTTTGAATTTGCCCTTGATGATTGGTTATGAATAACTAGTATAAATTTGAATAGGTTTTATTTAACATATATTATGATTAGATAATACGAGTATCGGTGATTAGTTAAGTGTGAAAAGCGGGGCACACAAGCAATAACAACACAGCTAAGCGCGTAAAATTAGTTACTTAAGCGGTGCAATACAATCATGAGCATATGAATAGGGCAGTCGCGGTTAATTTCTCAACATACCGGCCCTCCTGAACGATTTTTCAAAACAAGGGAAGCACAGAAAGTTTGGTAATAGGTCTCTTGCAAACTCCTCGGGCTGTTTTTACGGTGACCACTCGAACCCTCTCGTCTTGGCCAGGATGAAGTTCGGTGATTCGCCCAAGCAGCCACTTGCTAAGCGGTTGATTCGGCTCCTTCAGTACCACAAGAGTGTCCACGGTTATGTTGACGGACTCCTGCTGCCATTCGTGCGAGGATGCAAAGAAGCAAGGTATTCCAGACTCCAACGTTTTCAGAATCCTTGAACCTTGGCTTTCAGTTGTCTCCAACGCTGCAGTCTGTTAATGTTGACGTCCAACAAGGACGGCTCCGGCACCTACATTTGAGGTTGACCTGTAAGAAAATGAGCGGGAGTAAGGGGATCCAAGCTGTCATCGCTGGGCGCGCACAGTGCGCGAGAGTTGAGTAAGCCTTCAATCTGTGTTAAATTTTTTGAATATTTCTCGAAAGTCAACGCACTGCTACCAATTACTCGGCTCAGGTGGAGCTTGATAGATCGTACGCCGGTCTCCCAAATACCTCCAAAATGCGGGGCAGACGATGAAATGAAGTGCCAGCTGATTTCCTGACTCGTCAGAAAATTAGCAATTTCCTCGTCCTGACTTTGAGATACAGCTATCCGTTGAATATCCGTTAGTTCCTTTCTGGCTCCATGGAATGTTGTGCCATTGTCTGAGTACAAATCGGATATAGGGCCATGTCGAGACCAGAACCGTTTGAAAGCGGTGATAAATGCATTGACGAGCTCGATATGAATTGATTTGGTGGACAGACAAACAAAGATTGCGAAGCAAGCTTTGCGTAAAGCAAGGGGTCCGACCTGCTGATGTCTTGATGGTAACTGGTCCAGCGTAATGCAATCCAGAATGAAAGAAGCAGCGGGTGGGCTGAACGCGAAAGGCTGGAAGATCAGCCATGAGTTGTGTGCTCGTACCTTTGCGCTGGAGGAAACAAATCTTGCAGTTGAGTACAATTTTGCGGACTATGTTACGGGATCCAGGGATCCAATTCTTTTGTCTCAACGTGTGGAACAGCGTGTAGCGATGTGAATAAAACAACGACTGGTGATTCCTTTGGAAGAAGTATGGGATGTTTTGCATCATAGGTTGCCATCGAATTGCGCAGAATTTCTTGGTAGTCAACAAATGGAGTGAAGCGAATCAACTTGGATTTTTGAGAAAGTGCTTGTCCAGTGCTCAGCTGTTTGTACTCCACTTGGAAGAACTCCATCTGGACATGTTTGATTACCCTGGAGCGGGCATATTGAAGCTCCCATGACGATAAAGACGATGACAGGCGATCCTTGCAGCGAAGTCGATGTACAAAGCGAAAGCAATTGCTAATTTTCCGCAAGAGATTTGACAAGAAGGAAGCTTTGTTGATCATACAATTAAGATAATTTCCTTCATCGGAAATGTGTAGATTAACTTGGGGCTTGACCTTTACTTCCATCCGTGCAGCGTCCTCAGTCGACAGTGCGAACTTTGCCAAGCGCGATGTGATTGGGAAAGCCACGGTTGATGTGGCTGCATTCCACCACAGTTGATGTTCTACCAGATTTTTTGGTAGAAGTCCCCGTGATGTACAGTCCGCGGGATTTTCCTCAGTACGAAACTACGCGGCTAATTTCTGAACAATGATGATTTACCTTGAATCACATTGCTCATCAGTTTCTTGGCGGACAACCGCGTACCGTTGCACAATGTCGAATAATTTAGATTCCGCAACAGGATTTTGATCAGCACATCAAGCGAGCTCAAAATCCCGCCGATAGTTGGTCGCTTCAACCTCGTCGGTCACGCTGGCAACGAAATTGTACGAATGCAGTTCTCCAGCGATTAGACTTTTAATAATGAAATTCAAGCTATCGACGTCCTTATTTTTCGCTGCTAGTATTGCCCGTTGATTAATTCAATCGAGATTTTTATAATTTTGTGCACTGTCGGTCAACACTTTAGTGATTAGTTCCTCCTTCGACTATGGGAACGATATCAATGCAGTCGAAATATCAAAAGGAATTTGACTCGATTCAGCAGCCGAGAGGTCGTTCTGCAACACGACTATCATAATTAATCATTAATTTCGTTATCGCCGAATTCTTGGGCGATATGATATCTGTACAACGTTTTTCAGTCGCAACGACGACAGATAACCCTGCACAACAGCATACATATCTGATGATTGGGATGTTAGATGATTTCAGTCAAATTTTTTGTGACGATTTTAAATGTTTAACTTAAATTTCTGTATCAGCTTTAGTCAAAAAATAGGACATATGGGTCTTTTTTAATTAAACGCGGTATATTTAAGGTATCGGATTATTTTATTTAGTTCTTAAGTTGAAACAAATTTGACTTTATTTCCTTATTCCTTATTCCTCATTGCCTTATTCCTTTTTGAAGCTGAAGGCAAAGGGCTGTTCTGAGTACTCCAAAAATATTCAGCGATCATGTTTGAGTTCCAGTAGCCTTAGCGTTCCTCGATCCTACGACGGTCTTGGTGGAATCTCTCGCCTTGTTCTTCATTTAAATTTCCAAGATTACAAGGAAAATTGTCGATTTTTTCGTTTTGTGCCAGTTTTGTTCATATCATTGCGGTTCGTACCTACAGTGGCGAGCACGTGTGGATACATGTTTATCACTTTTCACTTTAAGCGCCTGTAAAATCTTTAAAAATGAATCAATCCTTGTGATTTTTTTTTTAAAGATTCATTAATTTATTGAGAATGAAAAAAGACAACAATTTCAATTCAAAGAGATCCTTTTCCTTAAGAGATTTTAATTTGTTCAAAAAATGAGCATGTATCCACTTTTGCACGTTTCAAATTTTTTTACTTTAATAATTTTTAAAAAATATTTGTTCCAAAGGGCCTTAGCTTTTATCATATTCCGAATAAGTATTGGCATACTCTCGACTAAATTTAGTAGGTGCTGGCAAGGTATCATGCGCCACTCCGACCTCACGTGCTCTCAAAGACTCACCCAATCCCTTTGGTGCAGACTCGTACTTTTCCAATGTTTTTTAAACAGAGCCCATCGATTTTCAATGGGATTTAGATCTGGACTATTCAGCAGGCCACTGGATTAAGTGAAAACTCGAATTATTGGGACGATTTTTCACGAATTTAGCCGTGTGCGTCGGGCTACCGTCTGGCTAGAAAGTGATCTCGGATATGGGGAAGTCACATTTCTCTATAAAATTTGACAAAATGGGTTCCTAAATGCTAAGATAATATTCTTTCTTCATTATTCCATCGATTTTAATCAATTGGAGAACGTTCCACCAAGTGTAGCAGCCCTACACCGTCAGGCTTCCTCGTCCATGCTTTATTGTTTCCTTGACCTGATGATTTTTTAGCTTTCCACATGAGCGGTATCAGTAGTTTTCATTTTGATCAGACTTAAAACGGTTTTTTTTTGTATATCTGACCCAATTACCTTCTTAAAATGTTCGCTGGTCCAGTTCCTATACTCCTCGGTAAATGTAAGATGCGCAGCCACTTTTTGTGAGAGAGGGCAGGTTTTTTCTGGCTATCTGCCGGTGTCAGGCCGATCGTACGCAGAGCGTCCACTCATGGGACGTTCTCCAATTGGTTAAAATCGATGGAATAAT